TGCATATATATATATGTATATATATATATATACATATATATAATTTTTTATAACGCTTATTAAAATGTTTATTAGAATAACGCTCGATACTAAAAGCCCACATGCACGACTACTATATTATACCAAATTAATGATAAGTATATTTAGAGTTTTATAAAAAAAAATATGTTACAAGTATATTCCGAGTTTGAGCGAAACGAGTCGGTGATAGAATAATCTAGATCACGACATTTGTGATACATAGAAGCGAAATCAAGTCGGAAGACGGCCGGAAACGAAACGTGCTCTGTGTATAGTCACCTTTGTGGTGCGGCGTCGGAGGTCCGGAGATGGTTTCGTGTTTCTGTCTCCATTGGCTTTGAGCAACGATTCTCCTGGATGTCATGGGCGTCGATGGGCCCGGTCCTGCAGGCGCCATGCCCATTGTCGACAACTTTCTCTCAACTATGAGCTCAATCTGTGGCTCCAACCTCGATTCGGCGATAATGTCGTAAACCTCCCGGAAGCTTTTGCCTTGAAGGGACCTTCCATTCCACGCGATCACCTCGTCACCTGAAACAGCCGCAAGGGATCGAGCGTCGTCCAATTCGTTCTTATGGACGGTCGTGGGAACGGAAACGGTTTGCTCGCGATTGTTACGAGTGCTGTCGACAAGCCGTGCGCTTTCAAAGCGTCAAAGTTGAAAGTACGGATTTACCACGACAAAATTTATTAATTAATGCAAAACTAATAATCAATTTCCGATTATGATTTTTCTGAAGCAGAGCGACAAAAATTTATAGTCAGTATTCCGTAACAAAGTTTATCATCATGTATTATCATAATTTCGTCGTAAATAGATAAGACCCGGACGATTAAAAAATTCTCCGAATTGCTTGATCCGAACTTTATAATCTTACCGGGTCTAAGTTGACCTTCTACGTCCGCCGTGCTACCCTTTTTCACTTTCTCGATCAGAGCACCCATGGAACCATCTTCTAATAGCTTGCCACCGACAACTTTTAGTCCGAGTATACTACTACAGCTTCCGGAGCCGGCCGATTTTCGTAAAACCATGTGGCCGATGATCTTCTGACCGTCCTCGCTCGCTTGCCAGGATAATGGATGCTACGGAGCGCGGACAGTATTTCTTTACTGATAATGAGTGTCATACCTTCATAAACCATTAACTATACATATGGAATGATAGTCCGGATTCTGGTCTGATCTTAATCCAGAAGTTATAGATCCAAATGTGCTTACATAAGAAAATTAATAAAATTCGAGATATTTTATGTGACATTAATTAATAACCAGTATGACTTAATATAATTATGAAATATACTGTTGTTTTATTGTAAAAGTAATTAGTTACAAATCACATTCTAGAAACTCATTGTTTGTAAGAAACTTGTATAATTTCATCGGTTTCCAGTATCCTGACATATTTCCATTTTATTGATCTATATTTACTAATTAAAACACAACTAATAGAAAACAATTGCAGCACACATCAGTTTACAAATAGGTATTGAGAAATGCTTTGCGTCTTGCAACACATTTCTCTTGCATGGAATGCACTACTTGAGCTTAAAAAATGTTGTAAGATACAAATGTATAATTTTGAAACTAGCATAAGATTTGAGAGGATACGAATTGGTAAATTATGTCGATATACAAAAAAGAACAATATAATTAATTAGAAAATGGAAACAACTTTAATTGACTACTTTAAATAAGTTGTTTCTAACAAGTAAAAGCTTCACGTTTTTAACTTTCACGAAACCTTTCGCTATCCTCTCAACGAAAACAGTGGTCTTTATGATTTTCGACGATCTGGATACGTCGGAAAATTTAGAACAAGCAACCCATGCTGTTGTAACATGAAACATATAAAAGCGAATAGTGGCCATTGCTTCATGCGCTACATGCGTGATTAGCAAATATTACAATACGTAGGCATTCTGTACGGCATGCATCCCGCACCTGTCCAATTTTTCAATGTCCAAAGATCCCCGGAAAACTTAGAAAAAATTATAGATATACATGTATTGCAGACATGCAAATAACACTGCGTGGTCGTCAATATGCGTAATATTGCGCAAAAATCCTGAGCGTGATGTATTTCTATCTGAGAACGACACGATTCACCAGGTGGATCTACTTTAGGGAAAGGGGTTCGCCTCTTTTTGGCTTCTGTCCTATCAAATGTTGAGCTTCTCAATATCTAATACGAGATTCATAGAAAGCCCGAAGTCTTGTAAGACAGGATTTTAACTCAAATTTTTATTCGTAAAATTATTACATTTTTTTTACTATAGTGGATTTAACAATAGCAATGCTAAACATTACTGGAAAATTAGAAAGTAAAGTTTACACAATCAATCGTATATTCTCGAAAAAAGCTCAAATTTCTGAAATTTCTTAATAGATTCAACCATTTTACAATCCATTTCTACTTTTACGCCAGTAAAATATTTAAAAAGTAATTTTAATCGTTGTAATAATAATGTTTATGATCATGTTGTAATGCAAGTTGAAAGAACTTCCTGTCAGATATGTCCGAAACGCAATGCTTAGCAACATTAAATACCAGACGACAATTAAGCTCCTTGTTCGTGATTAAACAATAGTATTATAGAAACTTCTTTCAATAGTACAGCAGTTATATAACTGCTCGAAATCGTAATAATTGAAGAGATATTAAAAAATCCTTTGCTCAGAACTGATCGACGACAACTAACGAGGTCGTCAAGTCTCGTCAGTTGCGATATCCTTTGGCCGCGATCCAATTTGATTAATTATGAAACAGAAACGTTTTTCTTTCGAGAACTGGCAACTTTGCCAATCCTTTAATTGGATCATTTTAGACGTGATTTGCCTCGCGAAAGAATCACGTGAAATTTTCTAAGTCACTAAAATACACAGTTAACAAAAATACAATATCGCAATGCATTTTTATTGAATAAGATCTGCGTCTGCCAGGACGCGACACAATTATCGATCGGATATAATCGCACAAATTAATTCCCGCATCATCAAGTCCCGTACCTTCCTCCTTCGATTTATTCGAAAGTCAGTAGAATCAATCGCGCTCGACAGTGTTTAGTTTCCTCGTTTTTGCCTTCACGCATCGCAATCAGTTTCCACTTTTGCCTCCGAGAAAATAGAAGTAAGCCTCGAGTTACGTGACTTGTTTGGAAAATAGGAGTGAAAAAGATTGATCCCGATCGAGTTGCTTCAAGAGATACGTAAGTCGTTGCCAAATAAATTACCCGATTGCCGACTGTTTATCCAGGGAATTTAATCTTGGTTATTTGCTTCGTATAATTGGACCGCGATCGCTGCAGCCTATCTTCTTAGTCTATCGAACAATGAACGGTGCACGCAATATTTCGTCCATTCGAACAGAAACTTTGCAAAAATGTTTAAATCTAGAACTGCAGTCGTAAAATATTTCACGGATATTCTATAATTAGCAATAGTTAGCATGTCTAATACTTATTTAATTTTCTTAACGTTTCTAAATAATTTATTTTTAAAACGATATAAATAGATCTTTATTTATTTGTCAATAACTGCGAAGAAATCAAGTTTTATATCGTTACAGCGTTCCTCCTCCATCTGGAAGATTGAAAGCATCGATCAATGTTATTTTCTGCTAATTCCGACAAAAATAGATATCAAATCGAATCATCTTCATGAAGTATTTATAACTGGCTATGTAATTTTATTTCGTTTTAGATTTCAATAAAATTTTCCTAAATTTTTTTTAATAAGAAGATACAATAATCTATAATTAAATCGTGATTACTATTTATTATCCATTTTCGTTATTTGAGTATTGATTCGTTTATATAGAATATTTTATTTCCACAACTATTAATCAAACACACACAGACGCATACATTTATATTATATTGATGAATAAAAATAGCAAAATGAGCTTTATGTATAATAACATAATTTTTTGTCTCTCTTTGGATATTGCCAGAAGAGTTTACACGCCGAATATTGAATCGATTATCTGCAACTTTTTATACATTAAATATAACTCACGAAAACTTAATTGGGCGACCGTATCTTAATTTGGAAGTGGCGTAAAAGAGAAATGAATGTCAGAAATTATATTCATTATTTAAAAGTACATAAATCTTCTTCGTCGCTATTAAATCTATGTCATTGCGAAACTCGAGGAAAATTACAGCATATTTTAGGTAAAAGAGGCACGATGAAATGGAATCGAAAGAAGCCTGACGCAAGAGAATTGTACAGAAGATAATTTTCTACTTAAAATTTTTGAATTCACAGAATACTGTGGATGGCAACCAGTAAAAAATATTTGTCTTTTTACTAATTCCATCAATGTGTGTGCATAAATGACCAATAGCATAGTCGGTTATTTGACAATAAGTCAATTTAAAAGTTGAAAGTGAACGATATTCCGTGACTTCAGCTTTTCGGGAAATAAATTGAATTTTATGTCAACACTGTAAGTTGTACAAAGAAAGCCGATACAAATCATACAAACGAACCTCGAAACGAACACAAGCACACAAGCCTTTAAGCACGAAGTTTAAGGTTAATCGAGCAAAAGAGGTTCTCTCTCCTGTCAGCACAGATGGGATGAAAAAAAAAATCAAACGTTCAAACATAATTTCGTAATTACGGCGTGTGTAATATATATATATATCTCTCTCTCAGTTCACACATCGATCGGTATCAATGGTCTCAGCGCGATCAATTGCGCAATTCTCCACTCCCTGAAACTTCGGCTCTCCTGGCACACGGTACATATTTGTAATCCGAAAGTAACTAATTACAAGTGCTGCGCGCTAATTACATCAATTAGCAAGCCACCTCTCCAATGTACCTTTCCGCTATACTATCGAAGCTAGGAGCGAGAAAGAAAACAATCGTAATTCCACTTTGGACGACGTATTCCATTTTGGATCCGACGCGATTGGCGCCTGGAGATCGCACGCGGAGGAGAGTGATCATTGCCGAGATGAAGTACCGTTTTTATTCCCGATCGGACGCGATCGTGCAACAAAAAGCGCTGCTGAAAAAACCCCTTTTACTCGATTCACCGGCGAATACGATTTGTTCCTAAACTCTTGTCTATCCACGCGCGTGTGTAGGACTCCGCCTTCTACATCACCGATCAACAGATCAACTCCGATCTACAATTCTCTACAACTCGAGAAGCGTTCTCTAAAGTTATTTTCTTTTTTTTTTTATTTATTAATTTTTTTTCGAGCCGGTTGACGTTACTCGTTTGTAACCTGGCCCCGTACCTTGGGCAGATCGCCCCTGTTGCTGTCTTCACTGCTCGTGAAGGTGCTAGAAGTGTCTATCCCGGAGTCTTTGGTCGCGCTGTCTTGGCTACCCTGCCGATCGGCCTCCCAAGACCATTCCTCCTCCTGAGGGCCGCCGACATTGGTCCCACCGTCAAAACGCACTGTCTTTTTCCCCCTTCTCTCCGTGAACCTGATGGACACGCCACATACACACAGAGACACGAGAACGATAAGTGGTTGGTGCCTGTGTGCGTGTGTTTGTCTTGTCGTATCACGCCGCCGCGATTCCGATTTCACGATTTGATCCGACCGAGTGATCGAGCTCGAAGTGTGATCCGCCACGACAACACAACTCACATATATGATATCGGCTTATGTTTCGCCTCCAAGTGATTTCTCATCGTTTTTCCGGATTGTTGGTCAGGAACTTTTGTTTTCTATAGTTTCATTTTTTAATTAAAATATCTTCAATTAAAGCAATATTGTAAATTCGGTCAGATGTGGTCATTCTCCGCATCATAAAAGTGTAAATATGTTTTTAATTTCTTAATATAATTTAAAGGAGAGAATTACACTATGACAATGATGAATTCGAATATTCAATGTATTCTCCGATAAAATTTTGATTACATAAACAATATTTTACCGAGATATTTTACTACTTTTAATTACTATGTATATTGATGCAGTAGAAATTCATACGTTTTAAATACGACAAAATAAACAAATATATCATCATTGTTCCTCGACCAACGACGCAACTTTCTTTACGTTATTATTTCTATTTCTTGTTTAAATCGAGGCGTTGAATACGTATCCCGATTAGAATATTTGTCTTTTCGGTATCTTTAATTAAAGCGATTTTGTAAAGTGTAATGATGAAAATCCCCAATCGTAAAAGTTCATTCATCCATGAAAAACTTTTCAAGTAAAGCGCATAGGATTACATCATAGTTTCAATAATAGATACTATATTTATATTCAATTTCTCAATGTTTATATAGAATTTTTTTAATTATAAAATGTAACTATAAAACGATTATTTTCTAATTTTTTAGTTATAAAATAAAAAAGTAAAAGATAATTGTCATTTTCGCGTATTCTTAGTCAATAACGGCATCGTTTCCGTGTTACAGTAAATTAAAAAAAAAAAAAGCCATTTCATGACGTCGAACTTGTGCGATGGGGACACTCCGCGGCGAGACTTCGTTAAACATTTTCGGTTTTCGTTTGCGATACGATGTCGCGTTTTATCGCAGTGGGAGCACAGTTCTTGCATAACGCATAACGTATAAGAAAATAAACCAACCATAGTCCTTGTCTTCTTTCCTTTCATAATCTTTCAAGACTACCTTAACTAATGTCTTAAGATGGCCACCTAATCAGTTCGTGACATCTTAAGATTGTACAGTCTTAAGTACAAGAATAGACTATGAATATCGACCTGTGATTCTGATTACTTAATTTTCTTATGCTTTATGCTTTATGCGTTATGCAGAAGTCTGTGCTTCAGCCTTAAGGACTTTCTACAATAATACCTGATTTATGCTTCGATCTTAATCCTAAAATCCTAAAATTCAGCCGATGGAATACAGATTTCAGTTAGGACCAATTAGGACTGGCAGCCCTATTGGCTGAATTTTAGAATTTTAAGGGACCAAAGCATAAACCAAGTGTATGAATCATTACCTAAGCTTTAAGTCTTAAGCTATTAGAAATTGACCAATCATAATCGATTGTTCTTCTCACATTCGACTGTGATTGATTAATTTCTTATAAGACTTAAAAACTCAAGTAATAGTTTATTGTAGGAAGCTCATTAAGATCGGCGAAAAAGTGAAAAAAAAAAGCGGCGCACACGATCGTCAGCCTCCTTGAAACGCACCTCCTACTGTCGGCACGCCACTCGTCGCCACACCTTCGGAAGCTCCGTCTGACGAGAGTGCTCTCTTCTTTTCGCGGCTCTCGCGGTGGATGGTGGCCGTTATGCTCCACGGCCGTCATGCCCGCGCCCGACCCGTGGTGCCCATTGTGGAATCCGTTGTGCCTACGCCCACCACTGGACATCGATTTCGGACCTCCCGTGTGGTGGTAGTACCCCTTCCCTACAGTAGATCCAAAACGTTTCGTGTTTTTTTTTTCTTTCTCCTTCGTTTCCTTTTCCTCTTGTCTACGAAAAAGCGCGTGCGCGGATTTTCTTTTTTTTTTTTATGTATCGTAAACCCTTAATTCTAACTACGCTTCTCTCTCCCACCTCCCTAGAGAGAAAAGAGCGTATCCTCTCGCGGTTTTTCTTTGAGATCTTCTCTCTGCGCACGCGTCCTTGTCTATTCTTTCACGGTGTCTCATTTTTCGGCAATCGAGTCCGATCTACGTACCGAAAACGAGACCATTGAATCGGGGATTATCCTGTCATTAGCTCGAGTCGAATACATCTCCCTGCGATGCCCTGCATTCCTAGTCCTGTCCTGTCCGGTGTTTCTCCCTTTTTGATTTCGCGTGTCAGCTTCGTGTGTGCGTTTTGTGTGTAGCGATATACCTAACGGAAACGAGATAAGGCAGCGGTGCAAGCTTGCCCGCGATAAATGTGCGATAGACGACGTCTGAGAAGCGTTAAGTAGAACCGGTACGTTTGAATTTGCCTACGACTGTCACACGATTGGCGAAAGACGCTAAAAGGTATGACTATATGCGTAAATTTGTGCAGGGATCGTGTGGTTGTGTGTGTACGTGTGCGCGTACGTGCATAACGGTAATTACAATTTTTTTTTCTTGGAAAAATGTCCATCTAAAGTTCTGCATTGAGATGCTTTCTGTTTCTTAGGACAGCGGGATTTTAATGGTAGAAATAACAGACTTTTATCCGTTACACAAAAAACTGGGCGAGACACAAAAAGACATGAAAAATTATCGTATGGACGAATAATACAAATTTGGCCTCCGTAAGATCGCATTCATATAAACTGAATTACATCCGTAATATTTGCGGAAAACAATACGCTATCTCGATTTTCCTAAAAAAAAAAAAAAACTTATCTTTAGTTCCTCTTAAAGTTAAATTCTCTTGAAATTTAAAGAAAATCTAGACGCTTACCGTACGGATGCCAAAGATAGGAATGTTCGAAAACTTAATACACGAAAGTGAAATATATGAAACACAGACCCAATCCCAATCTCAAAAATGTAATTTTGGCTGCAGCGTCATCATTCCAATTAATAAAAAGTACCTACGGGTCTATGCGTATATCCAGATAATGTGTATATGCGAGCGAACGGAGGATCTTGAGATGCGGAGATATTTGTGGGAGTTGTATGTGTGTACGCGTATATTCTTGAGTGAAGTATAGATAAAAATATACCTGTGCACGATTCATAGCCGTCCAAAGTAGAACAAATAAAGTCTATTACAATTCTCTGCCGATCGGTCGCATCGCGTGACGTGCGTGTCACAGACGAGGATCTTCTCGTAGAAAAACTTATTACTTCTCTATGTAACTGTGTGTATCCTCGCATTATTTTCATGGTAACTCTGACATAAATGTGTCCCTGAGGGCGTGGGAAGATAATTTTCTTTGCAAAGTGCAAGACAATTCAAAAGAAACCTAAACACAATTAAGTATGGACGGTATGTCCCCAATGAAGTTTAATCTTGAAGTTGGATTAGCGCGAAACGGTTGGATTTAAAAAAAAATCAAATCCCGTGCAAAAAGGACGTGAAAGAATAGGAAGAAAAGTAACAATAATGTATGCGTTATCAAGCCGCAAGAATCAGATAAATCAGAAGGAGAAACAGCTTATCAATCCCTATTTGATACGCACGACCGTTCGGCAGATACGTACACACACATGCACACGCATACGCACAGATATACATATTATATATATGTATATGTAAGTATACATACAATTAGATATATGTGTAGCGATTAATATATAGCGAAAGATGATTTGCTTTGTATTTTTACGTAATAAAATTATTAAGTACCGCGGGGAATTGCCGATTCATTCTGTCTGCCGCCTTCTCCCGCGTACCCCTGGAAGTCATCCCTAGTGGCGG